AGAGGTCAAGGTATTGGGGGTGGGGTGGGTTAAAAGCCTCATGTTTACTTAAGAGAATTTCAAGTGCTAAGTGGAATTTGTCTCTTTAGTGTGGAGCATTAAATATAGGAAGTATATTTCATTTTTAATTGCAATATCACCATATTAAGAATGCAGAATCTTGTGGCTCACCACGACCGAGCTTGTTTTAAAACGTCCACAACGACCAGTTTTGTCTCTAAATCCTCCAGCGGGCTATTTGACAAATACAGTTCAGACTTGAGCACAGTATTTTTTAGCAGTCTGGGTGTTCTTGATGCTATACATGGTTCCTGCGTTGGCAATCTTGTGCGTTCTGCTGTATTACTACTCCACCAGCGCGGGTGGCTTCTGGAAAAACAAAACACACGAGACTAGAAAAATACAAACGTGAGGAAAGGTCAGAACATTGTAGCGCTTGCTTCCCCACGTCACGTGGTAAAACAACAGCAGCTCCGTGTCGTGGAGTGCAAGCTGAAGCCGTCGTTTTTATCACCTGGGCACACAGCAGAGAGATTCTTGGGAGAGATGAGCGTGAACTGAAGACACCAAGATTGCACCAGTGCAATGCGTGCGTTTTCCTAGTGATAGGGACAAAAGTCGGGATGTGTGTTAGTTCAATGTCATTATTTGGGGGCGAATATGCCTGTGCGGTTGAGGCTAGCCCTATCTGCCCCTCTCCCCGCCCTCCCGGCCCGGAGATCAAGCTAAGATGGCAGCGCGCTAAGGACCGAGCTGGAAAATAGGAGCCAAGCCCTTTGTATCCTCTCCTGCTCCGCTCATGGCATCCCACGAGCCCTGGGCCCCTCCGCTCCCCCGGACACTCGGGCGGCACAAGCCCTTCGGCCGTGGAGCGTCCAGAGTGGAGGGAGCCCGGGGCGTCCGCTTTGGCAGACGGGGAGAAGCCCGCGCCGCCGTCTGCAGCCGCTGCAGGGACGTAACTTGGGAGTTCACGCTCCCCTGCAGGGCCTGGTCGGTGCAGTGAAGTACGACTCCAAACGCCCTTCCGTGCAGGCGTAGCCCCCACTGACCGCCAGCCCCCGGCAGCTTTCCAAGGTGCCCAGCTGGGTGGGCAGTCGCTGTGGCAGTTGCGGGAAAGGGAGCTTCTCAGAGCGCACAGGCAGGAAGAGAGAAAAACCCACCGCCACCAACGCCGCATTGACTATCAATTTAGGTAGGGTGCAGCGACCGCTGCCGTGGAAGGAAACGCTGCCAACCGCAGCAGAAACGCCACCCTCGGTCCCCAAGTGGGCACGTGTACGATTCTGCGCACGCCGATTGGCGCTACTCGGCAACAGAGGATTTCCTCCCAAATGATGATCCAGTTCCCGGGTTTTGAGTTTATCCTCAGGTTCAGGAGGGTGGGGAGTTGTCTGCGATTGAAGGTACAGTAAGGATTGAAGCAAATTAGGAAGGGGATGGAGGCACTAGCAGCTCAGGGCATCAGCAGGAAACGGGCGCAGGTGGCAGATGCCTTGAGCCCGAGGTGGAAATGAGTCCTTATCCAAGTAACACTCATCCATCCATCCATCCATCCATCCAATATCTATTTCCCTTCTATTTAGGGTTGGATCCTTCCTTTGGCACTTAGAATGTAATGGGGGTGAGGCTGGGGGTGGGAAGAGTGGGGAATAGAGATCGGTGCAGTCCTTATGGACAAAGGTGTGTGTGTGTATCTGTGTTTGCTTTCTTCTTTGAAAGTGTTACAGTTTATGGAAAGCCATATGCCAAGTCCTGGATACTGTAAGCCTTCCCACAAACTTTGCAGGAACAGGAAGTATTACTTTGACCATTATGTAGGATGAAGGTGAAGGAACCCGCGGGGGGGGGCTTACCTGTTGGTCGACTAACCTCAAGGTCAACAGTTGGAGTCCACTAATGGCTCTGAGGGAGAAAGACGAGGCTTTCTCCTTTCTGAGATTTCCCTTCTCAGAAACTCCAGGTGGCAGTTCTACTTTGCCCTGTAGGGTCCCTCTGAGTGGGAATAGGCTACACGGTGCTGGCTTTGGTTCTGTTGTTTTTATAGAGAGGAGGAGTTTCTTAGGTGGTGTACACTGCACTCGACTGCTCACCTGGAGGATCGCCAACTTAAAAGATGGAAGTCATCCAGCAGTACCTAGGAAGATAGGCCTGGCGGTCCGTTTCCACTGAGATGACATCCAAGGAAGACCTAGGGAGCACGTTTACTTTGGACAGCCACTCAGCAATGTAGGGGCCAAAGCTTGCCTAAAGAATTCAGTGGCAGGGCCAGGTTTCAAATCCATGCGCCTGATTTCAGAGCATTTTCATGACCTTGCAAGATGGTGAACAGTAATTCACCCTGACAATGCCAACCCATCAGGCTTTTAACTCCACCAAGACTCAAGCTGTCTCTGTTCCTAGTGGTACAATGGGTTAAGGAGTGGGCTGCTAATGGAAAGGTGGGAGAAAGAGGAAGCTGTCTGCTTCCATAAATAAGTATTGTCTTGGAAATCCTATGGGCAGTTACGTTCTTATTACATAAGGTTGATATGTGAATTGGAATCTACTAGAAGCCAATGGGCTACCTAAGTGTTTATGGTCTCAAAAACATGCACAGGGTTGAGGTGCTTCCTGTACAGCTCTTAGTTTGTAACCGTGCTGAGGTATCAAAGAATACGTATACTTGCTGGATATCATATGCAAGGCTATATACTAGGGGTTGAGGAAGACTAAAAAGATAAACTAGAAGTTCAAATGGAACTTAGAATATCACTGAGAAATCAGGTAAATACAGATCTACTCACAGTTCCAAAAGACGGTAATTCCTTCTGTCTATGCATTTGTCCCTATGCACTCATCACCCCATCTTTAATCCCCACCCCCAAATTATAGCTATTGTTCAAAGTCCTGGAACATTTCTTTCAACAGCTACTTACCACACAACCCCAGGAGCTAGAATTGACTTACTTCCCCATTCCTTGTTTGTACTTCTCAAAATGCTAAAAATGACACTCCCCCTTTTAAAGTGAAGAATTTTCAAAGAGACACGAATACATAAACTAGTAAGTTGAAGAACACCATCCATTAGTCAGACTGTTGTAGTTGGATGGCTGTGTGCTGCGATGCGGTGGGAGCTATGTCACGCTCATTTCAAATGGCAGCAGCTGAATTTCACCAAGACAGACTAGGAAGAAAAGTCTAGCAGTTTACTTCCCCAAATCACACACCTTATGGATCATTGGGTATTCTATAGGAGGGATAGATGGCCGGAAGGAGGACATTACTTGTGGTCCAACAGGGTCACTCAGGACAAGGGAGGCTGTTAGTGAGATGGGTTGGTACAGGAGCCACAAGGATGGATGGATTTGAATATGGTGGTGCGTAGAAGGACACCGGATCAGGCAACCTTTTGTATATAAGGCCGCCATTGGGAATTGAATAGCTGGCAACCAAGGAGTGAAGGATATGGTAGTCAGGTTTATACCAAACTCCCTGCCATTGAATCAATTCTGACTCATAGCGATCCTATGGGACAGGGGAGAGCTACCCTCCTAGGTTTCCAAGGTTGTATCCTTTGTGGGAGCAGAATGCCTCTTCTTTCTTTTGCTGAGTGTTTGGTGGTTTTGAACTAGTGACCTTTTGGTTAGTAACCTGATGCATAACCCACTGAGATACCAGAGCTCTTGACTCAGGATGATAGTACTTGGAATTTATTAGGAACATAAATTATGCAAACTCTTTAAGCTGAAAGTCTAGAGGGTAAAACTTAGGCATCATGGTGCATGTGTTTTTCATTTCTTCTAAAGGAAGTACAAGTAGACTAGGTTGGGACAGAAACTCAGAATGTTACACTTTTATGTGACATCTTCAGATAGTATAGAGTCTAAGTCACAATTGTAGTTTCAGGTTATATTCCATCATCCTCTATCTTTAATAACAAAACCCTGAGCAGAGAGAGATAAGACATGATGTTACCACTATCTGGCTTTTGAATCCTAGCAAAACTGTGTAGTCGACATTTTCTGAAAAGGAAAAAAAAAGGCACACCTATTTACTAGCTGTCTTTGTAAGTAAAGGTTCTTTCAAGCAGATTTCACTCATAATCCCAATACATTCAAAAGACCACCGCCATTTTTAATTCGACTCGGATCGAATTCGGAGAGCCTCGAATCCTGAACTAACCAGCTACTACTCCGCATAGCAAATCTTCACGTTGGCGGCACAGACCGTGGAGACAAGAACCAGGAGTGCGTAATGCTCATGCTCGGGCGATAGGCACCTTCCCCTTCTTTCCTGCTTTCTGGTCCTAAATTCTCCCATCTGGATTGAACCCCATTACCTGAAGTCCAACGTCGCCAGTGCACAGCTGCCAGTTTCCCTAGCACTTTCCCTTACAGTCCACCTTCCCGGGTTGCTACCAAAACCCGGCGAAGTGGATTCCCGTCCGCACGCCGCAACGGTCTCACACCCAAACCCGGAGGCGGAGGGAGTGGTAGCGGCGGGGCGGGGTGAGGAGTGACTGGGCTCGTGTGACTGAGCATGTGCGAGCGGCGGCGCATGCTCAGTGCGGCCAGCAGCTTCCCAGTGCGGGGAGTCCCGGCGGTGGCGGCGGCGGTGGTGGCAGCGGCAGCCGCGGCGGTACCGCCTCCTCACACGCCCCGGG